ATATATATATATATATATATATATATATATTTTTTTTTTTTTAAATGTGCTGTCGGAAAAATAAATGCAAAAAAAATAAAAAACCATAAGCCCTCACCTGATAGTTGCGAGTCTGACATGTCAGGTTAAACAGCAGGCACTGCTTTGTTTCTGTGCAGAACGACCCCTGAGAGGAGTTTCTGTGAAACAAGAACAAGAATTCAAGCGTCAAGTCTCTGAAGAAAATGTGAGTAACTTTATGTTTCTTACCCAACTTTCGCCTCAGCTGTTACAACCAGCAGAAAGCCAAGAAGACCTGAGAAATAAATCCTGAAACACACATGTAGTAATTTATTCTCAGCACTTTTTCCATACTTGTCCAGTAAAAACAAAACAACTTAGCAAAATTTAACCTAAGCTTCTATAAATTTTTGTTAAATGAGTTCTTTTGTAATATAAAGTGTACTTACATTGCTGCACAATGTTGTGTTCGCTGCATCTCAAAAAGGAAATTTTGACAGTCTGAACTGGGACGAGCCTTTAATACCTTCTTGTTATGATGGAAAACTGGCCCCTCCCTGAAGTCCTTCACAAACAAGACCATAGAAGGTCACGATCAGTGGAAAATCACAGCAGAAACATGAGATATTAGGAAGAGTTGCTTTTGTGACCCATCTACAGTATAGATAAAAAGATAAATGATGGTGAGAACGTTCCTCATACACATTTTATCTTCATTATGGAGTTAAAAATATCTCAGACTGTTGTAGAAGTATCAACCACCAAAATAAAAAAAATGACAATTCATAAAAGTCAGTTAAACTGGGTGGTAAAAAGTGCAGGCAGGTCTTTCAGATAAATCAACCAACATGTCATCCATCAACTTGTGTTCTCTAGAGTTAAAACAGACACAAAGATCCTTAGTTCCATGTGATATTATCTGGTTTATTCTGTGGAGAACAAACAACCCTGAGGTGGATTGAATAGACAATCTTTGCAAATTAGTCTCTTAAGAGAATAGTTGAACAAAAGGTTGTTATGGAACCTGCATGATATCAGATTTATTCACTGAAGAACACCAGATAGTATCAGTATGTTCTCATTTTATAAGAAAGGTTATTCAACTGGTTGACAAAATGTCCAGACACACCTGTTCTATGTTCACTGGACAAGAAATTTGATCCACAGAGTTACAAAACACTCTAAAGCTGTGTAGTTAAGAGTTTCAGCAGATTTCTCACAAACAAATACACCTGCTAGCAAACTTCAGTGTTTGAGACACTTTTTTATTGTAACATTATAAATTTCAGCAAAGTTACTTCAAAATGTCAGCAAGAAAGGCTGTTTTATGTTTAATTGATTTTATTAGAATATGTTGTTTAGAAATGTTTAAGAACACACTCCTAAAAACACATTTATTTTTCTTAGCAAACTGCAAAGCTCACATAAAAAACAATCAATATGTTCGACACTTCAAAATTGCCACAATGACAAGATTATTTTTTTAAGAAAAGTGTTAGAAAAAAAAGGAACAGAAAGAGTTTTGAAGATTTTTGCTCATTTAATGTGTTTTAAATGCTAATGTGTGCACTCCATGTCTAGTACTTACACCATCATGCCATTTATCATTGCACAAAAAAGGGGAAAAATGATTTAATTCGTTTGAAGTTGCACAAAAGTAAAAATTATTTAGGTTTAGAACCAGTCTACACATAGGCTACAGTTTAAAGTTGATATTTTTTTTTGTCGTTAAGTTAGATTTAATATACTTTAATGCGTAGTGATGATGACAAAGGAGGCTCAGAGAATGTATAGACTGGATACAAGCTCCAGGTCTCTTGTAAATGAGTCCTCGTGGCTAAATAAAGGTTGAATTAAAAAAAAAAATAATGTTAGGAGCCTGCCAAGCTGCTAAAAGTGAAAACATCAGTTTAATAAACCTGAAGTTAACTTGCTCCTCTGCTCGGTGCCATCATACACTCATGCACACAGAGGAATTTTATTTTATTCATAATTAACTTGAAACACAATAATGAAGCCAGTTGATTTACACAGAAGAATGTCGCCTCTGCCCTCTTGTGGTCAGTATGAGGAACTGCAACACCCGGTGAATTTTTCCACACTCGTTGGGACTTTTTTCACATACAGTATTTAGATTTTAAAATTACATTATAAAAGACGTATGACAAAAACAGCATTACAGATAAAATAATGTCCTAAATATTGTAATGTTGTTATTGTCATCTAAAGAACTACAGCTCCCATAGTGAGGCAATGACCCGTTACCGTAATCCTTTAGTTTCTCTTTAGTTTTAGTTTAGTTTCCTCTGATTTCTTGTTTTCCATCTCAGTGAGAAATGCACTGCTCTCTGCTCATGTTAGTGGATCTGCAGGCTGCAACACCTCTCATTAGTTGTGATAACATGTGCAAGGTCTGCAGTTTGAACTGAAACAAGTCCTGGTTAAAATAAAAAATGCACTGAAACTGTTTGTTTTTGACTTTTTACAAATACAGAAATACATCAAGATATCAGTTATTATAAAAGGCTATTCTGTCTTGTAACTTTTGATATTAGTGATGTTCCTTCAATGTTGAGGGGGGTGGGGGTGGATGCAGAACTTTGAAAGATAGTGAGGTTTTATTTTTTTTATTTTTTGTGGTAGCCTGCATCAGGACCTGACTTTGATTTATAAATCTGACTTGGAGTGGGACGCGGGCAGCTCGGTGGCACAATTGGTAGAGCTGCTGCCTCTCAGGGAGCATGTCACCCTGGTTCAAATCCTGGTCAGGGGGCCTTTCTGGGTGGAGTTTGCATTTTCTCACTGTGCATGTGTGGATTTTCTCCAGGTACCGCAGTTTCCTCCCACAGACCAAAAACATGCATGTTAGGCTGATTGGTAACTCTAAATTGTTTCTAGGTGTGAATGAGAGAGTGAATGGTTGTTTGTCTTGTCTCCATGTGTCCCTGTGATGGACTGGAGACCTGTCCATGTACCCCGCCTCTTGTACAGTGACTGCTGGACATGGGCACCAGTGACCCCCGTGACCCAAAATGGAAGAAGCGGGTAAAAGATAATGGATGGATGGATGAAAGTGCTTTAACATTTGAGCATTTAAATCAAATAATTGATTATGTAATTTCAGCAAATTACACAATGACCCCGACCTTACTCATGCATTATTTATTTTGTTTATTTAAAATAACTGGTTGTGTTTTCTTTCTCCTTCCTGAAAACATGAAATAATAAAACAAGATAAATAAATGACAACAACCCCTATATATTAGATGACATGAGTAACGGTGGACATGTTGTGTGTTTGGGTTTGGTTGAACCAGTGATTGCAACAATAAGGGATTTTAGAAAAGGGGGTCCTTGGAAAAAGCAGGACTCATTAAACAAAACCCTTTATTTGAAAAAGTTGTGTGTCTGCTGTAGAGCCTCCATCAAAAAGTGTGTCTGCAGCTTGTCCAAAAGACAAGTGGATGTCCTGGGTCTGTCTCATCTTGTCATAAAGATGCTTTAAGGATATTTGGGATTTCTTCACAAGACATTATTAACATAGAATATGTTTTTGTAGTGAGTGATGCAGGCTTGCAAGCATGATTGGACTGCTGGATGGTCAGAATATCTGCAGTGAAGGAGCTCTTAGAGCTTAACTTCTTTAACCTGACAGAGCTGCTGCCTGACATGAAGCAGCAACAGAGTGGTCAGAATGTGATGAGAAGTGTACGGCTGTGTTTGAGTAATTCACTTTCAGTTGATGCTAACAATGAAAGTATATTTATCTCTTCTTCATCTTCATCTTCTACTGCTTATTTGTAGTTGGGTCGCGAAGGCAACAGGAGCAGGGGCGATTCTAGAATCTGCCCCTTAGGGGTGCTTAGCCCCCAGTGTTGGCAGTGGCTCTTGGCTTGAACAACACGTGGACACTGGCATCAGAAACATTTGTAATGTAACATCCAAGTACTTGTAACTGAAGATGACTTCCACTGCAGATCCTCCTATGTTGGGGGGGAGGGGGGTGCGCGTCTACTTGTGTTTGCTCCTTCTGAAATCCATGATCATCTCCTTCGTCTTCTTCACATTGATGTGAAGGTTGTTCTTCCTGAACCACCTCCTGCCTGTAGCTAAACTCATTGTTGTTTGTGATGCATCCAACCACCTCTGTATCATCTAAAACTTTACAATGTGACAGCCTGGACCGGTGCGCAGTCACATGTGAGCAGAGTGAACAGGAAGGGGCTCAACACATAGCCCTGAGGGGAACCAATACTAAGGGTTATGGGGGATGAGATGGGGTAGAGACAGGGCAGTGGACTCAGGACCCAAAAGTCTCAGGTTTGATCCCCAAGTGCACATCTTCTGGTGTCTCTGAGCAGCATATCCCCAATTTGCTCACTGGGTGCTTTCAGTAGCTGCCCACTGCTCCACCTGGGGGTGGATGGGTTAAATGCAGAGCCAATTTCACCATTATATGGTAACATACAATGACCACAACACACAACACATTATTATTATTATTATTATGGTGGAGGAGGAGAAGTTGCAAAATCCTGATGGTTTCTTTTATTTTAGGGGTGCTGAGTTAAAATCGCCCGTCTAGGAGAGAACCCCAGACATCCCTCTCTCCAGCGACACTTTCTAGCTCATCCTGGCGTCCCTCAAGTCGCTCCCAGGCCAAAGATACACAATCCCTCCAGAATTTTCTGGGTCCTCCCTGGGGCTTCTTACCAGAAGGACACGCCCAGAAAACCTCTAAAGGGTGGGGTCCGCGAGGCATCCAGATCAGATGCCTGAACCACCTCAAACGACTCCTTTCAATGCAAAGGAGCAGTGACTCTACTCAGAACTCCAGCTCCAAACTTGTGTACAGATTTGAAAAAAGTCTGGCTGTGCAAGCAATAAAATGTAACATCATGCAATTCTGTAATTGTGTCCTAAAACGATACTAAGATATTAAGTCATCTACAGATTTTCCAACTTAGTACATACAATATATCAATGATGGCCACCCTGAGTGCCTTATATAAAGGCTATTAGAATCACAAACTGTTCTGTCTTTAACAGTGCAAAAGGTAAACTTTTAGTTTTGATGATGGGGAAAAAGCATCTTTATGGGAATTCTGCTGGCAGTTTGATTCCTCTTTGTCTGATTGGATACTTGTTGGAAAACTGAAACACTAAAATTCAGAAAAATTGTTGGGAATTAGGTTTATGTGTAAATGTACTCATCCTGTAGCCACTGAAATGGGGCTTGTAGTTAAATAAACTTTATTTTCTAAATGTTTTTTCAATGCTTTAAATAAAACAGAGCACAAAGATGTTAAACTTATTTTTCTAGTTTTTAATAAACGGCTTATTTAATAAATTTGGACAAAATAACTGCAGAAATGTTTGATCAAAAACGACTGACATTGTTATAAAAAATGAAAACTAAAATAAATATTTGAGTGTTCTAACAAGACCGATTAAAGATCAGTCAAAGCCTGGACTTTAAATAATGCTAAATGAAATACACTTTATTTTTGTCCTTTTTAGTACATAACAAATACTTTTCAAACATAAGACTTCTCAAGCAACGATCTACCCCGAACATATTTACAAACAGAAACTGAAACTGTGAATGTACAAAACACTTAGTGCGACCCGATGGAGAAATTAAAAGACCAGTTATAATAAAATTAGAACAAACGAACAAATAATAAAAAAAAATAAACATGTAAGTAAAATGCAAATAAGACATGCTTCCCAGTTCTAATAGAACATTTGCTGGTTCTGTGAAGAACAAGATAAAAAGAACATGAAGACGAGCTCAGTTTATGACACAACTAAAAAGGCAGTGTTTAAATCACCACAGCAGTAGCTAAGAGTGGCGGGCTACTTCATCCCTTCTTATGAGACGAAAATGCAAAAGTTACTGTCAAAATTTTTAACGTAAAACAATAAAAAGACGAAAGTATATACTGAAATGTGCATAAGGTGTTAAAGAGACAAGACACTCTCTTACATGCTAAGATTACATGAAAATAAAATAGTTGTGAACAAAGTTTCAGCTCTGAACTTGGTGAAGACAAAAATAAGGGGCGGGGTGGGGGCAGCACTACACAGTAGTGGTTTTCCTCATTCTCTTTTTATAATAGCAAGCAGATGTAGCTCCACGACCCCTGGACTGGTATCTGCTGTTGATGCAGGGGAGCGGTCCCTCTGCATGCCATAAAACACCTCCCTGAGGAGTGACAGGGCATCAGCAGCCACAGTCCAGCCGTTACACCCTCACTGACCACCACTCCACCGCAGGCACCAGCTGAGAGCACCAACTAGATCTCATCTTCTGCTAACAGTCCATTTAGTCCGTTTTGGAACATATAGGCTCAATGGTTTCAGTCTGTTGTCTTGTTCTCGTCTGTTACTTAAAAGGCACCGCATCCGAACATAGAAAAACAGGAAAGTTAAAGGAATGTCTGCAAGGAAATGAAAGATATAAAATAGCAGCCAATATAAGCATAGCTTAATACGTCTGAATATTTTTTTTTTAAGTATTAATGGTTTTCCACATATATACAGAGTATTAGACAATAAAAAGTAAGGGCAGTGACAGGCTGATTTTACAGGCCAAAAACAGAAACATAAATAAAAAAAATAAAAAAAACTGAAGGTCGAATTGGCACTGGCAGGAAAGATTCTTAGTCAGTGAGAAACTATAAATTTTACGCATCACACCTAAAACTTTTTCTGCAGATTTTTTAAAGATTAAATGCAAAATTAACCTATTAAATGCCCTCTTATATTATAAATATACACTGTAGTCCAATGTTTTTTTTTTTGACAGAGACTTGCCCTAGAAGGCAGCTCACATGAAGTGCTTCAGACACTCATCTACATTCTTGTTCATAATACTCATATAGAAAGGAAATATTTACCATATCACAATCAAACATCACTACTGCTGAGCAAATCTTGAAATGTATTTGCTAAATCCCATTTAACATCTTGGTTGCAGTTTATATGAGAAGCTATAAACAAAACAAACAAAAAAAAACTGTTCAGATAGATAAAAACAATAAATAAAAATAAATGGATTCCCTTCAATATTTCACTTTTTGTCTTATCTATTTTTATAATGTTTGTTAGTTTTCAGGAAGGTGTCCCAAAGTCTTTGAAATAAAGACTTGGTTTTCTTCATATACTTTTTTTTTTTAATAATAAAAAAATCTATCTGTGACAGAAATACTTCATTAAATTGTCTATTTTTTCAGACAACATACATTTACTTTTACTTTTTTTTCCGCACAATCACAAGCAGACGTTCCTCGTGCTGAACATTGTCAATCTAAATTCAATAAATATTTTGAAAACAGACTGACAGATAAAAACCCTGACCCAAGAGCCAGTCCACAGATTCTTTTTACCCCAGGTCCATTTTTAGGTAGAGATCGTAGAATCTTCATGCAAACACCTGCATCTTGCCATTGGCATCAGGGATTTGAGTAATTTGGGTCTGGTTGGGGACAGCAACTGCGGGACTGGGTGTGGAATCTGACCAGTCAGAGACACAGTGAGGAGAGGGACTGGACCAATGTTCTGGAGACTCTGGAGAAGGGGTCAGATAGGGGTGCTCGCTGGGCAAATTGTGGTAATGCTTGGGTGTAGCATCTAGTGTTGATGAATAGCTGTGCTGGGAGGGAGGGGTTGGATAATCCTCGTTCCCTGCAGTGCTGCCACTTGGCTGGGAGGGAAGAGCCTGAGTGGGCTGGCCTGCTGACGTGGCTGTTTGGGTGGGCTGAGCAGGAGGCTTCAGCTGAGAGGACTGCTGAGGCAACTGCTGCTGCTGGAAGAATGACGGCGGGGGCTGCGAGGTCTGAGGTGTCGGTGGGGTGGAAGTGCTCATGCGAGCAATGCTTTGCTGGTTGGTGATGCTGTGATTGATGAGCTGCTGCTGCTCAGCGATGGAAGGCAGCTTCACTGGGCTGATGGCAGGCGTGGAGGTAACAGGTGTAGGCTGCAGCATAGGACTGCAAAAGAGCTGCTGGTGCATCAGCATGCTCTGCTGCTGCATCGCTGGACTCTGAGGATGCATGTTTGCCTGGCTACTATGCACCATGTTCACAACTTGCTGACCACACTGAGAGGAGGGTGGCAGGCGATTGTGCCAGTCAAAGGGCACACTAACAGGACTGACCATTCCCATGTTGACTCCCAGCTGGCCTGAGCTCAGCACATAGCCATGGTTGACATCAGAAGTCATAGAGACGCGACCAGGTAAAGACATTCCTCCAGCTCCAAGGTCATTGATTTGAGCAAGTGACACAGCAAAGGGGCCCCCTCCTTCCAGCATGCTACTATGTATCATTGGAGTGCTTGGAACGGACATGGAGGAGTGGAAGATTGGTGACTGCATGGCCACAGGGGAAGTGGGATTGGTGATGTAACCAGCATTGCTAGCTCCCCCATGAGGTGAGTCCAGTGAGTCAACTGGGGACAAAGTAACTGAGCTGTCCAGTAATGCACTCTGCATGTCCAGGGTGAGCTTCTTATTGCGAGCTTTTACTGATTCCTTGAGACTAGTAGCATGCTGGCCTCCCAGGCTGGAACCCTTGGCTCCAGGCCGACGGCTCTTCTTGCCCTGTGGGGTGTTCTTCAGACTAGGGAGGAAAGCAGTGGGAGGGCACATGAGTGGGGACAAAGTGTGTCCCCCAGTGAGTTGATGTCCAGCCCCTCCATGGCCCTGGGGACTCCTTACTGTGTTGTATTCATCAAGAAGCTGCACGATGTCATGGTGCATACGCTCCTGAGCAATGTCTCTTGGTAACCTGTCCATGTGGTCTGTGATTTCTCGGTTCGCAAAGTGAGCAAGCAGCACCTTCACAGCCTCACAGCTGCCCTCACGAGCTGCAAGGAACAGAGGGGTCTCCTCCTGCAACAGCAAACAGAACATGCAACAAAATCAACAAGCTGTTGAATGCAAACATATGTGCTTATATTAAACCAGTGCTGATGCAATGCTGTGGTAAAAGTTGTGCTCTACCTTCAGGTCTTGCATATCTTTGTTAGCTCCATTCTTCAGCAAAGCAATAGTGGCATCCACATTGTTAACAGCCGCAGCCCAGTGCAAGGCAGATTTACCTAGAGACACCACAAATTGGCATACATATAAATTGTTTAAGTGTGATTTTTAAAACAGAGCTTTACATCAGAAAAGTTGCACCTTGAGTGAAAATTTCAAACTCTTACCCAGTTCATCAACGGCATTAACATCTGCATGACAAGTAATAAGTTCCTCAACCATGCCTTCTACTGCTAGCCGTGCAGCCAGGATGAGTGCGGTAGAGCCATCGTACATACGTGAGTCAAGATCAGTTGCACGATTTCGAATTAGAATCTGGAAGGTGGAAAAGACTGAATTAAAAACACCTCAAAATAAATGCAGCATTTCATAAACAGGAGCAAAGAAGAGTATAATCTTTTTAAGTTGATTCTATAAAAAGGATGCATTAGTGCTTGGATACCTGGAAGACACCCTGTGCATCAGCAGCCACTGCAGCATGTAAAGGTGTGCGTCCTGTGTTGTCTTGAGCATTGGCATCTGCCCCAGCGTCGAGTAATCTCTTAGCAGCATCAGCACGAGCGTAGCGAGCAGCTAAGTGGAGTGCTGTCTCACCGGTACGGTCTGTTTGGGCAGCGAGGGACGCACCCTGGTAGATTAGGTCAGAAATGATGTTGGCCGAACACTCTTCACTCTCCTCCTCCTCTGCCACCTCGGGTTCTAGGCCTCCTCCACAGAATGATGCGAGCATGAGAGGTGTAAAACCATCTGGGATGCAGCAGGGGTCAGTTAATATCCATAAAGCCTCATAAATTATGGATGAACGAATGAGACAGAAAACATGTTTGCAAAAGACCATTTGAATTGGTACAGATGTACTACTGACCTGGCCCTCGGACATTAACATCCATGCAGTCGCTTTCAAATTCTCCTTGAGGTGGAGTAAGGGCCATTGTGGGTGGTACACGAATGTCAGCAGCTGCAAGGTGATGCTGTGTCCACTGTCTGCAGTCCACCGCATCTTCACCGTCTGAGAGCATGCTTGGCTCCTCTACCTGAATTCATAAACAAATTTGCCGGTGTGAAGTGTGTGTGTAAATTCTAATTGATGATGATATTTTTTTGTAATGGTAAAGAACCTTAAGTCTTTTTGCTTCAGGGCAGTCTGAGTCCATCCACTGATCACTATGATCTCCAAGAAGAGATTCCTCAATGGTTTTCGGCATGTGTCTATAAATAGCAACATGTAGCCATATAAATAAAATAATAACATTCACATTTAAAACACAATCCTATTGCGGTAGCAGTTCAGTCCCAGCGATGTAGGTTGTGTTTACAAAGAACTTACTTCATTCCAAGAGCATCTTGGCCCACAGGTTCCCTGCGGTTCTTGTTACTGCTGGGTTCTTTCTTGAGAAAGAAGCCTTCGGGGAACCAGAGGGTGCTGTGCTCTCGTTTTCTGCGAGCAATCAACATACCCATCAAAACAATGACCAGAATTAAAAAAAAAGCTATTCCTGCCAGCATCAGCTTGATCCATAGTGGTATTATATCAGGAGGGAACTTCTGACCTGCGATGAAAGAAAAATTTCATGAATACATATGTGTCTTGCAGATGCAATTAAAATGTTTTAGATTAAATTATTCCTACTTACCCTGGACTGCTTTGACGGGATAAGGGAAGTTAAACATATCTGTTGCAGACAGGGCTCCCAGGTACTCTGCAGCAATGTCAGCTGTAAGGAAACAGTTTTCTGGACCTTGAGAACACAAACGGTTGTCTATCTCCAGATAGACTTTGGAGCTACAAACAAAGCAGAGAAGAAGGTGTTTTGTGTATTGTGTAGTCTGCACGAAAGACTAGTTGTTTGTGTCCCGTCTGTACGACTCACCCGACAACCTCCTGTTGAGGCTCGAGTTCTCTCTTGAGGCGGGCTTCTTGACGGGTGTAGGGATGAATCATTTCATCTCCATTCTGGTCTCGTCTGAAGCGCACTGAAGTGCGCAAGATTGCACTTAATTTCTGCAAAAATGCTGTTCTGGTACGAATAAGCTCATCTGGTGGCAAAAGCACTATCAAAACTAGGACGCCATCAGCAAGTTCTTCTGGAACCTTCCCTGCACAGTCTAAGCCATCCCACCCACACTCTTCTGTGTTGCAGCCAGGGTCACACATCCCATCAGCAAAGTGATCAATGCAGTAGGTCTCATATATTGGACTGAAAACACAAACAGAAAGATCAGCTCAACTTCTCCCAGGTCAGCACAAACAAGAAGAATCTTTTTATGAATAAAAACAAACGTACTTGCAAACTTTTTCCTTGGTTCTGCAATCAAAGTTGTCATACAGACAGTTTGCGTTGTTACAGTCGTCGTCGCACTGGCTGTTGTTAAAAACACGCCAACAGCGACGGTCAGTACAATGAGCCCAGGGATTCATTGCCAATGAGCAGTCGCCACCATCCCAACGACAAAGAAGAGTGTTGCATTCCTTATCACAAACTCCATCATTGCTTTTTCCATTACAGTCTGCCAGGGGGCATGAAGGTACAGGAATCTCAGGCATAATGATATGCTCACACCGTTTGCCTATCCACCCGTTGGGACATTGGCAGTGAAAGTACGGGAAGCTTGTCTCTTCAGTGCATAACCCCCCGTTGCGGCATGGCTGGGAGGAACACCCTTCATTACTGCGATGCTGACACTGGGGCCCACCATAACCTGACAAACAGATGCAACGTGCCCCTCTTGTTGTAACTGCACAGCTCCCTCCATTGTAGCAGGACAACTCACGGCAGGACATGCTTCTTTCACAATTTGGACCAGTGTAGCCCTAAAAGAGGCATAATTTGAGCAATTTGTGAACACGAACTTCCAATCCAGTAAGAATGCTGTAATTTGCAAATTTTAAAATAAAATAAAAACATATGCATACTTACAAGTTGACATGTGCAGGTGTATCCTAGGGAAGAGCTGGTCATAGAACAAGCTCCTCCATTCTGACATGGCTGAGACTCACAGACACTGAACCTGTTCTGACACCTTCGACCTGAAAGCAATGTGCCATTGGCAACAGTTTATTATTATTTTACACAAGCAGGATACATTGTGAGAGAGGTCAATGAGATTAGAAATAGTCTAACCTGTAAACCCAGGTTTGCAGACACATAGGTAATCATTGGGCATTTGGATGCAGTCGAGACTGTTGGAGGGACTACAGGGGTTAGAGTGACACTCGTTTATGTCTCCCTCACATCTTTCTCCTGTAAAACCAGGGGGACAGTTGCAGCGATAACCACCCACTCTATCAACACAGGTTCCATTGTTCAGACACTTTGGTGGAGCACCACGCCTTGGGGATGGAGCACAGTCATCTTCGTTGATCTCACAGAGAACACCTTATAAAAAGATGAACATCATTAACTTCTGGACTAGCAATATTTCTTGCATGTACTACACGGAAAATCTCTTTGCTAATAAGCACAGATTTCTGTTGAGCTTGTGTTTCCGTACCCAATGTGCCAGGGGGACATGAGCAGATATAATGTCCCACTAGATCAATGCAAGTTCCTCCATTCTGGCATGGGTGAGACTGACACTCGTTGACCTCTATCTCACAGTTCTGTCCTGTGTAGCCTGGCATACACTGCATTGACATGGATAATAATTGACAATAACTACAATATATTCATATATGCATAAAAAACAATGTGAAACTGTGAAAAATATGATAATAAACAATTTGACTCACATCACACTGGTATCCGCCAACATATGACCTGCAGGTGGCGCCATTGCGGCATGGTTTGTCTTCACACTGGTCCACTTGATTTTCACAATAGCTTCCAGTGTAATCAGAAGGACATTTACAAAAGTGGGTATTCCCAGTGTTGACACAGTGACCACCATGATGGCATAGTTTGTCCGTTTGTATCCCTAATTTGAATAAATGTAACTTAGTAACATCATTCACTCAAAGCACAAGTTCAAAGAGATCAAATTAACTGAAGAAAAAAAAAATACCTTGCTGGCGAGCAGCTATCTCACATGAGACCCTTGGGATGTCACAGTACCGACCAGACCAACCAAGAAAACATTCACAGATAAAAGAAGAATCCTTTTGGCGACAGCGTCCCCCATTTTGGCACGGAGATGAGCGTCTGCACCAATCAACTGGTGTCTAGAGTGGTCATAAGGGATACAGTATAGACTTTCTTTAAGAAATAAGCTGTCAACAGTATTAACTATTAGGATTCAAAACTTTTTACAATAAATTCCAAGCATCTTTAACTGTTTGTACCTGGCACCGATTGCCAGTATAGCCTTTGGAGCAAGAGCAGCGGAAGGACTCCAGGGCATCCTGACAGATACCCCCGTTGAGACAGGGCTGGGAGTTACACTCATTCACTTCATATTGGCAGTGGGAACCAGTGAAGCCTGAGCGACAGGTACAAGAATAGCCATTGATTTTATCCGTGCATGATCCTCCATTGAAGCAAGAGCTGTAAAAAAAAAAAAAAAAAAAAGAGTTAAATTAATGTGTTCCGCAAGTAAATTCAGTGGCAAATTAACACAGGCACACAGTTACAATTTAAGACTTATTTATTTGTTTATTTTATTTATTTATTTATTCATTTCATTTAATTTCCAATAAAAACACAAATACAATTTCAAAAAATTAAAGAAAAACAAATATAAAATGAAAGGAAGCAGAAGAAGAAAATTTCTTATCATATCTGCTCCCTCATAAACAAAATCAATTCAAACCATCAATTTAAACATAAACATTCATATATAATACATCAAAATACATAACTCATCAAAATTTCATACTTAACATTAATCAGTTATATATATTGTTCCAACAAAACAGTTTTTATCTTTTTCTTAAATATAAACACTGACATTATAAACTTAACTCCACAATTCAAACACATGCAAACCTTTCAGTGCAGTCAGGGATGTTGATTTCACAGTGGATGCCAGTGAAACCAGGTGAACATGTGCAAGTGTAAGAGTTAACATAGTCTGTACAGGTGCCTCCATTTTTGCAGGGGGAACTCTGACATTCATTGATCTCCTGAGCACAGCGGGGGCCTGTAAACCCTGGCAAGCAGCTACAGTGGAATGAGTTCACTCCGTCAGTGCAAGAACCTCCACTTAAGCAGGGATCTGACACAACAAGGAAAAGGAAATACTTTTATTAAATGTAGTCAACATACTGATAATATGACTGCCAGATACAGAGAGGTCTAAGAATACTGTTTATACAGCAACTCACTTGGAATACAGTCATTGATGTCTGTTTCACAGGTTGGCCCAGTGAATCCTGCTCTGCAAGAGCACACGAAGCCTCCAAGCGTGTTAGTACAAGTCCCACGGTTTTTGCAGGGGTTTGACAGGCATTCATTCACATCTATATTACACAGCTGACCTAAAGATTGAAAGACAGAGATGCAAATAGTTGTGGTTTGTACGCTTTCTAATTTTGACAACAAATGGGAAGACAGTAAAATTACTCAGCGCAAAATTTCCTAACCTTGCCACCCTGGCTGACAGTTACATTGATAGCCCCGATAGTCTGGTGTGTGGGTGCAGACTGCGTGATTGGCACAGGGGTTAGGAGAGCAAGGTGTGAGGGCCTCAGCACAAGTTGGTCCACTAAAGGAAGGCTCACACAGACAAGTGAAACTTGCCACTCCATCCACACAAGTGCCCTTGTTCAGACAGGGGCCAGATGCACATTCATTAATGTTCACCTGGCAGAGGTTACCTATAAACAGAATAATAATAAAAAAATGATAGCAATGAAAGTGAATTTTGATGAGCCTTTGTAAATGGGCAAGCAGCTTTTTCAAAGGCACTAGATGGAGACAAAGAGTCAATTTACAGACATTTGTGTACCGAGCCAACAGCTCACCTCTGAAGCCTTGGCGACACTTGCAGATGAAACCATTGAGTTGGTCGATGCACGTCCCAGCATTCTGGCAAGGACTTGGCAAACAGTCGTTCCTGTCCAGGTCACAGTTCTTTCCTACCCATCCAGGTTCACAGTCACAGCGATAACTATAAGCACAAGAGCAACAATCTAAAGATGCTGATTTTATAAAGTCAACTACTGGTGAGTCAGTAAGTAAGAAAAGTTAGTAACACAAACTAAGGTTCAAATCCAGGTTTCAACGTCACAAAACAGATTCACTTCTTATTGTGGTGTCTCATCAAAGTAACTAATGCTGGAAACCTTAGCTACTCCAGACCAAGCTTTTAAAATAAAATAAAATAAAATACAAGTATAGAATATAAATGTTTTATGGTATATTGATTGGCTTTAAAATAGAGCATTTACTCTGACATGTTTATTTATTTCCTTTTTCTACTTTGGCTGTAGCTGTTTTGTTGCTTTCAGTCAGTTATACTAAAATTCTCAAAAAACTTTAGGATTTTAGTTTGTTCATTTGGTTCCAAAAAGGCAACCCCAGGGGCCGTTTACACGGCGCATATTTTGAGTGAAACCGCACTTTTCTCTCTGCGGTTCGGCTGTTCATTTATACGACACTAGTCGCCTCCCTTTTTGAATCCGGAGGTTTCTCAACCCACCTCTCAGAGTGGAGGTTTTTGGGAGACCGCCCGCTGATAATGTCAGCATTTCCCGCAGAGGTGTTAAAGCACATGCGCACTACAGGTGTATAGTTCACATATGTGTGGACCAATAGCATATTTCTATCAACAACAATGGTGGCGGAGTAACATACTGCTTTCTGTCCTACGACTGATGGAATATATTCTGAGTCTAATCTATACTGGAATGTAGCTGCTGTGACCGACATCTGTGATGGGAAATGATGCCAGTAGGATCCAGTTTAAAATCGCTGAACGAGCCTGTCGAGGCAGGCGTACATTTCACGCATCGTGCTGGACTTTAACATCCTAAATGTGCTAAATAATAACAGTTTAACAATAGTAAACAGTATTTCTGTTAGTGGTTTGAAATGAAGCTATCTGGACATTATGTAATTCAAGTTATGTGATTTAAACGAGGATGCGCAACATCGCATGTTATTCAAATGTAAAATGAAGACATCAGGTTTAATTTTTATTTATTTATTCAACACCACAAACTGTATGTCACACAAACACTGATAAGAAAACTGAACACTATTAAAAACACATTAACCAAGCTGTACTCTTCCCCTCTGTTGTCATCCTGGATGCTGACGCCATGTTGTTTATCTGGCTTGTTCAGGCTGTCACTACTTTGCTTAATGTAGCTTAAAACATTGAAAGGATTAGAATAAAGAACTGAGGAGAATTTTAAGTGAATAGTTGCTCCATCTTGCTCTTCGATGTCCTCCTGCACCATGGAGGTGTACGCTCGTTTGGAACCAGTCCGCCTGGTGGGAGGACAGCTTCTCCTTGCAGGACTGATAAAAACAAAAACTCAGTTGGTTGTTGTGTAACGGAAGTAAACACAAGCTAACATTATGAAGAACTTTGATTTACCTGCTGTAAATTGGCTCGACGCCTACTGATTATCACTGGAGTAGAAAGTCCGACATCATTCTGTGCTGTTTCGCTCAGCGACCGGTGTCGAGCTGTTAGATGAAGCGGTCCCGCTTGGCATCAAATCTGTCGACTCGTATCCAAAATCCAGCTTTAATTTGTTGTTAAGTTGTTGTTAGCTGGGCTTTCAGCCCAGAGGAAAGTCCTTACAGAGAGAAGTCCCAGGCAGCGCACATGCGCGTTAGGTGAATGTACAAAATTCACAGCGCCAACCAATGACCTGGCATGGCAACTACAGCGGATTTGGTGGATTCATGTAAACACGGAAACCGCTCCGTGTCAATGCAGATTTTTTCCTCGACTCAGCATCTGAAAAACCTACCCCCCCCCCCCCCGCCGTGTCCATGTAAATGAGGCCCCAGTTTTACTTTTTTCCCTTTCATATGTAGTGTGATGCTGATCCTCATTCATTTTACAAGAACATTTACATTTCCAAGATTCAGATAATCTGGGTTGACATCTTGAGTTACTAATAAACATACTACTACTTCACACATTCTCATCTGTTCTAGACCACCTTAGCTACTCTGGGTGAGCTAAACTTGCTTTCTACAAGCTGCCGATCGGAAAAAAATAAACCTGTACTGCACTGTGGCCATCGAAAAATGTCTATTTTTATTTAAATGAAACTTCATACCCATTGATGTCATCTCTACAGGAACCATGGACGCATGGGCTGCTGCCACACTCATCTACCTGGGAGTAACAGTATGGGGGCTTAAAACCTTCAGGACACTGGCAATGAAATCCATTCTCTTCATCAACACATGTTCCCCCATTTCTACAGGGGCTGGATGCACACTCGTCTATTTCCACATTACATTTGGGACCTGGCATGAGAAATTTCATACAAGCATTAGCATTTTCTTTGTTAAAACTCAGTTTTTTCATCTGAAATTTGATGTTTTCAATTTCAGAGAGCTTTACCTGTAAAACCAGGTTTGCATACACAGTCATAGCGGTTGATGCCGTCTTTGCAGATTCCATAATCACATGGGTTACTTGCGCAATCATCAAAGTTAATCTCACAGTTTGTGCCTGGGGTGGAAAAGAGACATTTACCATGTTTTTAGTCCATTTGAAATGTCTTGAAATATAAGGTGGCTTGTGTTTGGGGGTTTTCCTCCTACCTGAAGTTCCATGCTGGCACTGACAGATATACTTGTTGACCTGGTCCACACACTTACCCCCATTCTGACAGGGGTTGCTGTGGCACTCATTGAGCTGATTCTCACAGCGATAGCCTGTGTATCCAGGATAACAGCTACATGTAAAGCTAGCAATGCCATCTATGCAAGCACCATGGTGGCATGGGTCAGGCTGACAGTTGTTGATATTGCTCTCACAGAGTCGTCCTTCATAACCTTAAAAAAATAAAAGAAGACTGTTAGTTTTTTTTTAAAACATATTTTTGTCAGTATTTTAAAAACTACTTATTAATCTGTGACTTCAGTATTATTTCTGTTGTTGTTGCAAATTATCCATTATATTGAACACTCTCATTTTGTTTAATTTCCCACAAAAGTTTCCTCAGATTGTGGCTCTGACCACTGTACCTTCTATGTCAGTGATGCATGTTTTTTATAGCAAGTAACTGTTATGTGGTATATGTCTAGAGAAATGTTAAGTTGGGTAAAGCAGTAAAAACAGGCCCTACACAGGCCTCCCAGTCTTGCTTATGATGTTAGTGGTGAAGGGAACAATGGATGGCACCACATTTTGGTCACCACCTACTCAGCCTGCTGCCCTCTGGCAGAAGGTACAGGAATATTAAGAGCCGCACAGACAAACTCATAAACAGCTTCTTCCCATGGGCCATCCAGACTCTAAATACCCATTAAACTCCCTAAGTGCAATTTTTCTCTAGTGCAATATGTTTGGTCACTTACAGGATGTGCAATATATTCAGGCTGCTTCCACTTCCTCACCAGAATTCTTCTGACCAGTATATCTGTATTTTCAAAACTGATGTTCCTTGTGTATCTAGGTCTTTAATGTCTGCACTGAATCGTTGTGCATAAATGTATGTTGTTGTCTTTTTTTAAATGAATACATCGTCAGTTGAGGCACTTTTAATTTCATTGCATTGCTCATTGTGCAACGACAATAAAGACTATTCTATTCTACTCTATTCTATTTAACAGGGCCACTTCACTCTGCAGAAGGGGCCCACGAAAACAACAAATACCAAGCAGCTGGCCACTAAAACAACACGGCAAGCTCCTCTGTTTGTATGAATACAAACAAACAGTAAATATCAGCAAACAGGCGGCAGGTTTAAGCATACAAGTTTTGATTAACGGTACAGGTCACTGTATCTGGCTCGCTCATGCTCTGGTTTTCAAACATGAACATAACTGAATGTAAAGGAATGTGCGTTAAAAACTAACATAAGGTGATGTGTAGGCTTTTAAGAGATGAACAGATGTCGGGGTGATGACCAAGACTCCTTTCTTAACAACGGCTGGTGCTCAGTGACCCCGTGATCCTGAGAGCCACTGAGGGAAAGAGGGGGATTAGGGGCCTCAGCTTGGTCTGTATGGCCAGCAGACACCCAAAAAAATAGTACAACCCCAAACCATTGAATACTTAGCAATGACCAGATAAGTGCTTGAGGATCATCTGCTCCTGTGTCTGGAGAGTCATGCTGAGTAGTGTAGTGTGTAACAACTATCCACTGACAACTATTATATATAGAAACCCTTACCTTCAGCACAGCGGCACTCAAACCCATTGGGCCGGTCGTAGCATTTTGCTCCATTTTGGCAAGGCGTGCTAGCACACTCATCTATGTCAATTTGACACATGGTGCCAGTAAAGCCTGGGACATGCAAACACAGAGGTTAAGGGTCAGACAGACCGTCCAGTGAAAGGGTCCATGCTTAGGTCAGAGGGCAGATGTTAGAGGCCTTCAGTTAGATTAGCAATGTCTGACTGAGGTAAAGCTGGACAGACTGGTTAAGGCCATGACATCTTTGCATTTTAACCAGTGCTGAGATGACTGTCACAGGGCAATTATATTTTAGAAAAGCGATGTGCAATCTTTTCTGACAACAAATTCTTTAAATAGTTTTAAAGTTTAGTATGAAAAATCTTGTTGAAATATTTTGTGAATGAAACATGTCCATTGCTTTTCTTAACTATAATAAAAAATGTACAAAGTACTTTGATACGTTTAAGCAACAGATTGGGCTGGGAATGAGTGGGCAAAGAGCCCTGGGAAATGTGAATTGTTGCACTGTCGATTAACAGTTTGAAAATGGTTTCTATGTTTTGGTGCTCGGGCTGCTAAGGAGATGTTTACAAAAGATGGTGGGATTGTTTCTACCCAGCACCACCACTACCCCCCTTCTATTTGGGACCCCCACTCCTCCTTTACTGCCAGCATCAGCTCCACTGTCTCAATAGCTAGATGGGGGGTGGGGGGTACGTCTGTCCCAGATGTAAATTGCGGACTTGGAAAAGAATCTCATTAGCAGGACTGCTGTCCCCCCTTCCACCACCACCAGGGCAGAATGAGGGAGACTGCTGTCCCTTCCACATTCCACAGATAAGGGAAGCAGGGGTCACAATAGTGCCTTTGTTAAGCAGGAGGATAGGCAGCTTGTAGGCCTTGCCTTTTTATGCAAGTGCTGGCTCTAAAAACCAGCATGCAGAAGTGGTGAGGCTGACCTTCCTTCCTCTGGTTCTAGGGACATTTAAACTTTGACTTTCTATTTTTTTCAGCACTTTTGTTCATTGGGAGTTTTTAACAAGCATTACAGATGCACAAACAATTCAACTTAGGATAATTCAGGGAAGTATACCTGGCTGGCAGGTGCATGTGAAGCCATTGATCAAGTCCTGACAGATGCCATCGTTGACACATGGGTTGCTTTCACAGTCATCTATGTCAACCTCGCAGAAAGTCCCCGAGTAGCCTGGAAGATGGAAATTCAGACATGAATAACTCATTTCTTACCAGTTGTGGATAATTAAATAATGCTTAGATTATGTAAGGGTAAGTTAGCTCAAGAATGCATGACAAGAATGCTGATTTGAACAAGAAAGAGAAGCTGTGGGAAATGTTTTACTCATGGGAATTTTGGACATGGGTCTCTGCTGAGCCATGAAAAATGGAATAAAAGATCCCAAGAGCATCCTTGTATTCCCACTCCACTGACCAGGAATCACCACACCCTACTGTCCATGGAACGTTGCCTCTTTTTGAGTCAGTGTCCCATTCAGCAGATACATGTTATACAGTCTGCATTGCCAAACTATAGTGGGCTCTATCCTTTAGATGAAACTGAATGTGAATGAGAATGTTGCCCCTGCAGAGAGGCTAGCGTGGAATCAGAAATAATCAGCGGCTCCACGTGAGCCTTGCCAGGCTGACTGATGATGAGGACGGTGATGAGGAAGGTCTTGTCTCTGGAAATGAAGCAGTGTGGGGGGAGGGCTCTGGGAAAAAGCCTCTTTCCCTCACTGTGTCTATGAGGGGTGCAAAGTGGAGCACAGAGGGGCCCTATTGTTCCACTCCATTCCCACCACTCTACCTCTCATTAGTATTCACAGCACACTCCTCCCCCTAACTGCTCGGCCTCTCTCACATCCAGGTCTATAGACCCAACTCCCAGCTCTAATTTGTATAGCACCCAAAACCCATGCAGGGTACATGTAGGACTGTGCGTGAGGTTCATTTTGTTTATATCAGAGTACCCAAAACTACAACCCAATACAAATTAATATCCAGTCGGTTGTACAGTGCAATGCAGAGATTGTTGCTTCATCCACACTTTAAAAATGATGGTGTTGCGTAACAAATCTGCATGGTAGAAATTTGTTTTCAGTAGAAGGTCAAGTTCAAATAAGTTAATTCCCTCTATTGTGAAAAAAAAAAGATCTTTTGTATTCTGCAACACTTTGTTATTAATTCTATAACAGTATTTTGGTCAAAACTGTGAGATGTTTCAGATTCACTTTGTAGATGTTTTTTTATTTATTTTGGCAGAAGAAAATTTTAATATTAATTATTTAAAAGTCACAGGTCTGTCTGTACAAGTCTGATTTTAGCATAATTTGACAAGATTTTTTACACATTCAGTCCTGGTTTGTTTAATGTAAAAGAAAACATTTCTATACAAAATTTAATTTTTTTTTTGTGAACAGTAATGTTTAGACATCAATTTAAAAAAAGGACATGAACAAAGGCTCTTTCGTGAATCTGTTTACCTGGCATGCAGATGCATGTGAACTCTCCAATACGGTCTAAGCAAGTTGCATCGTTCTGGCAGGGCATGGAAAGGCATTCATTGATGTCAATCTCACAGCGTGGTCCAGCATATCCCCGACCGCACTGACACTGGAAGGAGCCCTCTGTATTTACACATTTCCCAAAATGCTCACACGGGTTTGCACCTGTAGATATAAGCAGAACAGTACATGAAATGCACTCAATTTAATACCAGATAAAAAGCATTTGACTACATCACTGAAAAGTGTTGGAAGATAATTAGCTATCTTACCAATTGAACATTCATCCATGTCCTGATTGCAGGCACCTCCCACAAAACCAGCAGGACAGGTGCAAATGGCACGTCCATTTAGAGGGTTGGTGTCACAAACTGCACCCTCATTGCACGGATTACTCACACATGCATCATCAAGGTGGCACAGCAAACCTGTGTAATTATTTCACAAGGAATATTTACTTCACTTATTCTCATATTAGGGACAAAGAAATACAATTTTCAAAGTGACGTACCTGTCTTCCCAACTGGGCACTCGCAGAAAAAGGATGCCACTCGGTCATGGCAAGTGGCACCATTAAAGCAAACAGCTATTGCACAATCATCGATGTTCTCACTGCAGTCATCGCCAGTCCAGCCATTAACACAAACACAGGTATGACCACCAATGGTGTTGAAGCAAGTACCACCGTTATGGCAGGCATTTGGTTGCATGAGACACTCATTGACATCTTCAGCGCAGTATTGTCCTTGAATGGTAAAGTGATATATTAGTTCGAATATACTCACAATGATAGAACAATTCAGTCAGATTTTTTACAAGCTGTACCTGTCCATTCAGGTGGACATTGGCAGTTGTAGGTATTAACTCCATCTACACATATTCCTCCGTTCATGCACTTGTGACCTGGACAGTCATCCACATTATTCTCACAGTTGTGTCCCTCAAACCCTGAAACAGATTCAGTAAGAAAAGGGGTTACAAAACACAGATAAGGCAGCACCCACCAGCTGAAAGTTTAACAAACATTTAGATTTTCTTTTTCAGAATACAAATCTTTCTTCCCCTATACTCAAGTCATGTTTCCCACACGTTTGTGGGAACGTTTTCAAAGTGTGGGGTAACGTCGGCAGTAAAAGAGTTCAAAAGGTGTCTGACTGTTTACGTCTTCGTTTGACTTTTCCCACACAATGCCAGCAGTGGTAGTGATTCCTGCCTGCTTCAGAGGTCTGCACTCCTCTCAATGTTTGCTTGTTTTATAATCTCTCACAGTTTCAATGACTTCCTCTCTGGCAGTAGACATTTCCTGTCAGGTCCCCAGTGGGAAAGCAGAAGGCTCATAAAGTAAATTCCTTCTGTTGTGAACAGAGCAGAGTGAAGAAGAGAACAGGCATGTTGCCTCTTCAACTCTCCCACCACCTCATATCCCATAAGAAGCTATTAATAGCAGACAGGAAGTTGACCTGAGACACAGCAACAGCACTACAAGCTACGTCACCATGCTGGGAAAATCTGTTTGACTTTAGCACCCTGCTGAGGGCCTGGGAAAACCATGAAAAATAAATACAAACTGTGTGCGAGTTCTTGATATAGAGTTTTGTACCTGCTAGACAAGCACACTCATAGGAATGGTCACTTGTCTGGCGACAGGTGCCTCCATTAAGGCACTGAGATGGGGCACAGGGTAAGGTGGACACCTCACAAGTCCGTCCACTGTATCCTTGCTGGCACTGGCACCGGAAAGACCCATGGGTATTACTGCAGAGGCCACCATTGAGACATGCTCCAGGCTTGCGGCACTCATCGATGTCATTGCGGCAGTTCTTTCCCTGGTAGCCAGGTGGACATGAACAGTTGTAGTGATTATTCCAATTGGCACAGCGGGCCCCATTAGCACAAGGACTTGTGGCACATGCATCGATGAGGGAGCAGTCTTGGCCTGATAGTAGATGAAATGCATCCAGTTAAAAAATTTTTTTTAGCTTTCTTAGACAATTCTTTTCTAAAAAGTCACTTACCTCTAAACCCTCTCTGGCACACACAGGTATACTGTGGGATATCATTAACCACCTGGCTTCTGCAAGCTGCCCCATTCAGACATGGTGATCGATGACAGGGATCCAAGTGTTGACAGAGAGAACCAATAAATCCTGGGCGACATCTATCAAAATCACACACGCATTAAGTACGTAGCTCACAGATCACAAAAAATCATAAGATAAAAGAACTAAATGGTCAACGTAAAGCTGCTGAAACATTAATTGTTGGCTAATGTCTATTATGCTGTAGCTTTTGGTATACGGTTCCAACGACACCTTGGCAAAACCTGATTCTTGACTCATACAGATAGCTATCCCTCTCGGTTTTGGAAATATTTTACGTTTAGCTCATGAGTGCACATCAAGTCATACATTATAACTATATAAATTGACATCAAACATATAAAAATGGAATGATGCCATTTTATGTGCCTTATTGGCTTCATGAAGCAGATTCTGTTGTTTCCAGATGGAAAAGCTCATGTTTTCAAGCCAGCTAACATTTGTTCCACTGTTAAACTTTTTTTGTTTTTTTTTCCCCCCACATTAAAAGAAAAGTAAAAGACGAACACACCCAGAGACAGCAGTCTGGAAACTTAACAAATGTCAACAAATCCTGACATGAAGAGAAACAAGAAACACATAGTATCCATGATTGGAATAAAAGAAACAGCTGCAGCGTTTGCATTAAATAAAGTCTTCTTGCTGTGACGGCATTGTGATGCAACAGCACATTATATCAAACAGCTTGGCTACACTTAAGCTGTGCCAGACATATTTGTCAGTTATTGCTCATATGTGAAATGATCAGAATGGATACGATATTCCCTTTATCAACGTGATTGTTTAAACAGGCTGCATTACAAATCTGTATACAAATGTAATACTTCTTAAAGAAGATTTTGCAAGTACTTTTGATTATCTTTTACATGTGCAGTTACACTGACCACCCTGTTTTGACTGATGCCAAAATATTGCTAACATATACTCTGTCGTAGCATGCACAGGCAGAAACTGAAACTGGTTCCATACTTTAATGAACAAAAATTGGTGATTGTGTGGACGTTTTGTTCATCTGAACATGCTGCACTAAGAAGCTGAAGAACATCTGAACAGGGTTTTCTATAGTGCCTGCTCGGCAGTGCTTCTATGGGAGTTCAAAAAGATTTGTGAAGCTGGTAACTCTACACCCTCCGTGGAGCCTTTGACCAGTGACAAACCCCCTCTTCAAACAGTTTGATGCTGGTGGCAGGGCAGTGACAGCTGGCTTCTGGCCTGTCTTTGAATTTCTTCATTGGAGGAAAAAGATAAACTTTGAATCAACAATAGGTTATTTTCTGTTCTCTTGTAGTGGATATATCACCCAGCTATCACTTTTTATTGTTTATCTTTCGATACACACATTCCTTGTGATTAACACTACAAATACTTGCAGTCTTCTTGTGCCAGCAGACTGAAGATGTTCAAAGTTTAGCTCATGAAGATACACTGATTTCCATATGTGCTGCCAGTGAAACATGTTTCTTTTTATAGATGAGAAAATAAAAGGGTGTTCGGTTCTGATGGACTTGATTAGCTTAAGAAATTCAGGAGTCAAATGAAGGAGCTACAGGGATGCATAACATTCACAATGACAAACATTTACACATACACAGAAGAGAAAATGTCTAGCGTTCTCAATGAAATAGTTTGATGGTATATAGAAATCATTAGTATGCAAACAATAAATACCAAAGGAAAAATAATGTATTTTTACAAGAACGTGCAAAAAGTCAGTAATGAAGCACTAATAATGTCTTGTGACGTTAAATGGAAGCTACTCTCGACTGCAAAGAGGGAAAGAGGCTGCACAGATACAGCCTCTCTATCTTCTAAATCCCCTCTGAACGCCAGCTTGGCTTTCTCCTGAACTACTCTCACGCGCTGAGAGGTCATGTGTCAGAGGTCCCCTGTCTGATTGTGATGATAATGTCCGTCAGGCTGCAGAGTGTGGTGTGGTGCTGCTATGCAGGAGAAAACATCTTTTTTAGAAGGTGCTACTGGTGGTGAGAAAGAAGAGATGAGAGTGGTCTGGTCCAGCAGGAATGTCATGTCATATTTCCTGTAATCCTTGGCCCTTTGTTCTAAAAACACACTACTCACTCCTAGTGCACAATTCCTGTTGCCCTAGCAACCATACAGACAAACAAGCAAGCCTGACACCCAACCAGTCCCTGCTCCCCCACCCTTGGTCCCCATGGCTATTTGTCATGGCTTGGCTGGGTTTATTTAGAGGCAAATTAACTATGTCTGGAATCTAGGGTGTCACTAAAAATGAAACACAAATGTGGCACAAAGAGGTCTTTGACAGTACCAAAGAAGAAAGTCGCCCGAAGACATGAAAAATACAACACAATCTGTCCAATGCTTCTGGAACCTCACGTATTGTGGTCAATTGAGAGTTCAGGAAAATCAAACTGTTGCAATACTAACAAGCTATTCTTGCTCTTTTTAATAGGCCATTATGAGTCTCTGTAGACAAAAAAGGATCTCAACAGCACAATTAAGGAATCCCTCTGAACACCACTGAACATTAATACAAAGTCTAAAATATTAGGAGTGTTGGAACAAAAGGGTTTTCAGTTATGATGATCAAGTGTATAGTTGCTACATTAGTAGACATGAGTGCATGAATGCGTGTCTGTAAAAACAGAAGTGTTGTCTGATGAATTATTTGTCCTCCCTGATAAATGTACATCAAAACCAAATAGCCAAAACACACATTCTTTTGTCTAGACTCAACTCATTGCCAACATGCTACTCCCACAACACACAAATCAGACTGCTATCAGTGCAGAGAAAGTGAAAGACATGCAACTTGATGCTAGTTTTATATCCAGCTATGAAAAATTTGCTTATCAGTTTCTCTTTAACCTTGTGGATTCTTCTGCTTATGGGAAAAGCAGGGCAGGATTTGAGCCTTTGCCTGCGTCTTACTCTGTGCCAGATATGAACGGCAGGTGCAGGCTGCTATTGTGCAATGGGCCCTTTAGTCATACTCTGCGACTGCCGACATCTGACCTTTGAGGAAGAGAGTGCAGCAGATGAGAAGGAGGTCTATGAGTTCAGCACATAGATGGCCAGAGTGAGTAATCTCCCCATGTCAACACATGTGACGGCTTTTGCCAGCTGCAATCCTACCATCTGTTCACATCTGTCAGAGCACCTCTGGGTGTCCAGCATTAAACTCGTCTGCCAGACTTTAAGCCAAAACAACTGTGCTGTTTTGCCCATGAGACTGACCCAGTAACAAACATACATACTTGCACACATGAGGCATCTCTCAAGACCTGGTCATTCTTTGCAAGCGCATGCATTAGCAATTCCACAGTCTCAAGGCACATTTTTAAACAAGAGCGCCACAGCAAAATAGGCAAATGCATGCAACAATCACTACACACTTAAACACAACAAAAGAAACTTACAACCACCTTCAGCCTTTGAGGAACTGTTGTAGAATCAAGAATGCATACAAGAGAAGATCCACTGAAGAAGTTAAAGAAGAAAGAAATATTCTAAACACAGTTTTCTGGTTTAAAACACAACATATATTATATTTTACAGTGATGTTTTTGTTTTTCCTGTATCAAGCATAAGCATATTTCATCTAATTAGTGTTGATTTATGTAAGAACATTTTCTCACCTATACTTGTGTCATACAATCCTAATTTTCCTGCTTTCTGGTTCACTTGAGCAGAGTAACCTGAGCTCATCCTCTTCTACACAATAGCAGCTATTCTGGCAGAGGTCAGAAGGTGGTTCACCTTGAACAAAGAGGATGTAATCTCTGACATGGTTCATACGTATTGTCATGCTTCACAGAGAAACAAGTTGAAAAAGAGCTTCCTTATCTGTTGAAGTAATTTTACATCAATAGGAGAGAAATAGTAGCAACAGAACAAGTGTTTTATTAGTAGCGACATTTCAAGTTCTTTACTTTAAGATAAAATGTTTCAGACTTTTTGGTTGTTCACATTTCTAAGAAACGTTTTCTTTGAAATCTTATTTTCTTAACACAGCTTTCTTTTCAATCCCCATTGCCACAAGCAAGCAGCAACCAGCTTCTCCCCTTTATTAAGAGTCTCCACAGACACCACCACACTGCCAACAAGGGCCCATCCTTGCCCCCTCCCTCCAACAGTCTCCTCTGCTTGGCTCTTCTCAGCTTGGCTCTCCCTTCTCCTGCAAAGAGCCAGATTGGGGGTTGGGATTGTTTTGTAGCCCAAATAAAAGAGCTAAAGTAGTCAGAACCCCTTTGTACAAAAGTGTTGGGGGTGGGGTGGATGCGGGGGGGGGGGGAAGCAGTGACCCAAACAGCTAGTTTTTAAAGGCCTAGGCTGTAGCCTGGCAACAGTAACCCATAGTGAGACAAAGCCGGAGTGAGGAAAAAAAGGGGTAATGAGAGACGGGGCTTCGCAAGGACAGTTGGGGAAGTTCAGAAGACGGCTTCTCCTTCAAGTGCAGATAGTTCTGAGTGGCACTAATGAACATGGTACAGTTACATTCAACCCTTGTGTTGGTGTGTTTCATGGTATAAAGGACTAGGTACGTTTAAACAATGGTATTCACATCAACAATGTTAAAAAAAAGATTTCCTGAGGCCTTTCAGTCATGATTTTTTTCTTCTTCTTTCGGCTGCTCCCTTCTTCAGGGGTCGCTACAGCAAACTATGTCGCACGAAGACTTAGCAGTTATTTTTTACACCGGATGCCCTTCCTGACGCAACCACAGACCACCGAGCTATCACAGCCCTCTATGTCTGCTAACTAGGGTGCCAGAGGGAGCAGATGGTGCGGGTTAAGTGCCTTGCTCAAGGGCCCAGAGTGGGACAAATGAGGGTGGAGGCAGGTGTGGGTGCTTCACCTATCCCACCCACATTTTGATGTTGTTTGTACTCGGAGTCAAACCAGCGATCTTTCGAACACAGGTCCATCTTCTCTAACCTCTGTGCCATCACTCTCTTCAGATATGAATTCAGACATGATTGTAAAAAATGGTATTATAACATTTTTTGTCAAAATAAATAACTGATAAGAACATGGCAGAAAAAGTATGTGAATCCTTTTAACCTCCGATAGTTTT